GTAATGTTGTGGGGGTTTTTGTTTTGTTGTTGTTGTTTTTTTAAGAAGTAAGTGGTCTCCCCTGAGAAAAACTGGTCTGAATGTAACATCTGATGAACTGGGTTTTAGCCCACTAAAGCTTATGACAGTGGTTCCCAAACTTTAACAACCTGTGAACCCCTTTCACTAAAATGTCAAGTCTCGTGAACCCCCTCCTAAAAAATGAATATTTCCAGGGATATTCTCCTTTACCTGAGTATAAATTATAAAAGCAGTGAACTTGGAAATATAAAATTTGTTTTTAGACAATCTTATTATACACTATTTATTATTAATTATTATTTATCATTACAGTATTTTTATTACACTATGAAAACGGCAACACTCTTCCAAGATCTCACTTTCGTAGCTTGTATCACTTTGAATAAGCCTGTTATAAGACAAGGCTCCTATGTTTCATCAAGGAGTATCAGATATGAAACAACATGAAGGTATTTAAGAAGTCAACTCAAAGAGTTTCTCCTACACAAGCATTCAGTCCAGGCAAACAACGCATGTTACAACAAAGCTTAAACTTGTTCTTCATAATAATTTTAAAAACAATACTAGCTGCCTATTTAATTTTAAAAACAGCAAAAAATATCCACCACTCTTTCCATTTCTTATAAAGAGTCTTGAAGTTTAAATCTCCTCAGTGTGATAGATATGCTTGCTTTGATCTTCTTAGCTCTTGGAAGTCCAGAGGCTCCGTGCTGCTGGCCCCGTGTTGCCCGGGGTCCCTAAGGACAGCTCTCTCCGCCATTAGGGAATTTTTTCCCAAGAACCCCCTGTAACATTTCGTGAACCCCCAGGAGTTCAAAAAACCCAGTTTGGAAACCACTGGCTTATGTTAGTCTCTAAGGTGCCACAAGGATTCCTCGTTGCTTTATCCAGGATAGTTAACCTGTAGAACTTACTGCCAAAAATATAATTAGGCTTGGCAGAATTCAATTCTTTTTTTTATAATTTCAAAGGATAATATCTATGTTTATTTTTAAGCATTTTGTTTTTTATTGATTAAAATGTTCACCGTTATGCAAAATATGGGGTTTAAGCATTTATTTAATTTTTTGCAGTTACAGGAAATTATGCATGGGCAGACTATGGGGGAGTGAGACAACAATTATTTAATGACAGTAGACATTGAGATTAAAAAAGGTAAAGCATTATAGCCATTAAAACAGAAATTGTCAACATCACATGTCAAAATATCCAAAGTAAATATCCTTAAATCAGACTCTAATAAGTTCTCAGGCAGCACTTTTCTTTCTTTGCCTACCTGTACATTTTGATTATTATTGATGGACGTATTTTTTCATCGGTCTGTGCGTTTATGGTGGAATTGACGTTTACCAACATTTACTAATCAATATCTAATCCTTCCATGCCTAAACACAATTAAGGCCAACATCTTCATAGGATTCAAAAAAGGGATTAAACATTTATATGGATAATGAGAATATCCACAGTTAGACTAGACAGAAAAAAAAACCTGAGGGATATAAATTGTCATACTTTTAACCATAAGCCAACCTGTAACTGATAGGAATTGGGGGAAAAAATTATTTATGGGCTAGTTATTCCACAACTGTCCAATATATAGTTTCACCTTTCTGTTAAACAACTAGTACTGATGACTCTTGGATCCAAGATATTAGACTAGATGCACCTCTGGTCTGATGCAGTAGGCCAATTCCTGCATTCCTGTGATCATAGAGAACACTGACTCCTGAGATGACTTTCTTTCAGTTGTCTCTAACTTTGCCAATAGCTGTTATATATTATGGGTCTGATCCTAAACTGGTATAAATTGTCACCAAGGACCTGCCTCTGATGTATGTAACTTGAAGTCAGATATATTACCTCTGAGAAACATACATTCTCAATCCAGCCAAGAATCAAAAATTCCAATGCCACTTAAAAAACTACTTCCCCTCAAATACTACTGCCCTCACCCCATTGGAAAGGTTGAATATTATCTTTTTTTTACCTGGCAGCACTTGGAATCTCTCAGTACTGTTGTTAGCAAGGGATTTTGAGATGTAAAAATAGCTTTTCTCACAAAAGAATGAAAAAAATGTCTACTGGGAAAAACCATTAGTCAAATGCTTTAAAAGCTTCCGTTTTTTCTAATCAACTGTTGATTCCTGTAATTTTGTGTTATTTCTAAAAAAAAAAAATAAAAGGCCTCCCCTGAGAAAAAAGTGGTCTGACTGTAACATTGAGGTTCTTTGTACTCACTTTCGTTAAACTTCATGAACATTTATAAAGAATTTAGAAGGGAGTGATAAAAGTATTAGTCTGCACTTTTATCTAACACCTTCCGTTGGAGAATGGAGCTTTACAGAGGTGAATGCATTACTCTCCCATTATTTTGCCCATTTCAGATGTGAGAAAACTGAGGCACACAGAGATGAAGGGTATGTCTACACTTGCAGCTGGTCGGGGGGTGAGTCCCAGCTCGAGGAGACACTTACATTGGCTCAGTGAGAGCTAGTGCACTAAGAATAGTAGCATAGCCACAGTAGCACCGTCGGTGGCTCAGGCTAGCCATGCATATTCATGCCCATCGGCTCCCATCGGCTGTACTCAGGGCAGCTGAGCTAGCCCCTCTTGCCACTCGCCACTGCCGGTGCTACTGAGACTACACTACCATTTTTAGCGTGCTGGCTTGATGAAAGCTAGAGCGAGTATGTCTCCTCGAGCTGGGAATCACACCCCCAGCCCTAAGTGTAGACATACCCGTAGTGTCTTGCTCAAAGTTACACAACAAGTCTGGGGCAGAGGTAGAAATAATCTCAGATCTCCTGATCCTCCAGTCCCAGCACCAACCATGCATCTTCCCCTGTTAAAACTCTTTCATTTTGTTCAGCATAAAAGATGAAACACAGCACATTAACCAACTGTTTCTTTATATTATTTTTAGTGTAAAAGTACATTTTAAAGGTAACACTTCTAAAAAAAGTTGTTTTATAATTAGAGATGCAAAACTCCATAAATAAAAAGGTTTGCGTCCTTGCTCTGTCTGATTCATATAAAGGATTGGAACCTGGGTCTCCAACAATCCAGGAGAGCGCTGGGCTATTGGCTAGTGGGGCTCTCTTACTCTCCCCGGTTGGAGCTGGTCTACTTGGTGCAATAATTAAATATTCAGTAGGCCAGCAAGAAACTGATTCTATAGCCTGATGGTAGGACATTTATCTGGGATGTGGATGATACAGGGTCAAGTCCCTGGCACACAGCAAGGTCTTGGATCAGTGTCTCCCATATGCTAGAGTGATTGGCTGTGCTGGGATGAGCTGTTCTCTGTCTCTTTGGATTTGACCGGAAATTCCATTCTAAACCTGAAAAACATACCCAACAAAAGTGTAGTCAAAATGGATACATTTCAGTGAATATTTCCCGTTTTGATGAATCAGCATTTTTGACAAAAAGCTGTTTTGACAAAAAAATCCTGCCCTGCTCTACCCATAAAGCAGTTTGTTTGGACTGTCATTGTCTGTGTGCACTCTGGTATTACTTAATTTATTTACTCAGTCTTTACTAAGACAAAACTCCCAATGAAGTGACAGGCTCAGATCCTCAAGTCCTACCTAGCCTCCCCCCTGTGCTTCCTGGGGCTTTGCCATTTGCAGCTGTCCCCAGATTCCTCAAAGGGATCCACATTATGGAAGCATGCAGTCAGTTACTGCATGCTTCAGGCTTGTTCATATAGCTCCGGGCTGTATTAACTTGTGATATGTTCCACTGTGAGCTAGGCAAGAGACAGTGAAGGAGTCCAGCCCAAGGGATGATGAGGTTGCCTGCCAGATTCTGAGATCTGATTATATCACAGTCCAAGACCATAGGGATAAAAATGAAGTTTGCTGACAAGCAGACCGATTATTGGCAACTCAAAATCTGTTTACTGCAAATATATAATAAGGGTCTGATTTTCAAAGATATCTAGGTGCTTAAAGATGTAGCTAAAGACCTACTGGGATTTTCTAAAGGGAGTTAACCACCTAACTCACTTAGGCACTTCTG